AGCGTCATACCAGCAGAACACGAACAAGTTGCAACTGCACCCTCTATTGAACGTTTGTGAATATTCAAAATTTCACGTACTCAAATGATTTATGCAACCGTGGCCATTTATAGGCGGTTGTAGCGCAAATATTTTAATATCCGTACACAGAAGCAATTAGCGACAATAGTATAGGTAATGGGCCTTTATGTACGTGCGAGCTGGCGTCCGGCCAGCAGGTACCTACTGTGCACTCTACATACAATCTATATGACGTAATATTGAGGCGTATACGAACAAATTGAAATACATAATATTATTAATTAACTATTAATAACAACGTTATTATGTGATGAAAAATAAATAAATGATTCCATTTTTTTAAATAAATTTATTTTGTTGCTTAATTTGGTTGTAAATCTTATTTATGTATTGATACGTTTAATTCTACTTTTATATAATGCATGATTAGAATGTTACTGTTATCCGTTGGGAAAAATTGTCGTTTGGTTCCTTCATAAGGCGAGTATTAGATATATTTTTTTTTATACTCTAACTCTTACATAAAAGGGCATTACCAACTACTACACCTGTCATATCGCTTTAGATGTCAATCATTGAAATCGATCCATTTATTTGGGAGCAACGAAGCCACAGATAAAAAAAAGCACTTTGATTATAAAAGTTAGAAAATATTCCGTTATCTTACGCTTTAATAACTTCCTAATATATAAATAACACATTCAAAAATACTTTAGGTAGATTTAAAAAAAATACTAAATAAAAATGAATAAACATACACTCCAAATTAGTAAGTCTATCATCTTTAAAGTCAGTAAATATTTTTTCCCCTATGACTTCTTTACATACTAGTTACAATATCTATCACTGTGGTGTGCCACAAACTCGTTGCATTTTCCGTTTCCGGTAAGCGCCGATACTGGCGTTTATTATTTTAATATCTCGGCGCGGGATTCCAGTTTTGGCAACACAATATCGATAAGAGCAATGTACCGTTTCCTGTTATTGGTTTATACGTAAAGACCCATTCGGTCGAACAGTCGCGTTGGTGTGTCTATTGAGGCTTGATTCAAAAGTATTGAAGTATAATTTTATTAAATTTTATACGTAAAGAAACAATCTGAGCCGATAGGTGCTTACTCATTGTTGGAACATTAGCACACAACACCATCTAATTCCATGGTAAGCTACGAGGCTTGTGCTATGGATACAAGATAGTTGATACACTACCATATACGAGTATAACTTTAAATACGTACATAATGTTATAAACAGTAAACACGCATGCCTGGAGTACAATCATTTGTGCTTATCACACAAATGAATGCCCCGAACGGGACTCGAACCCGCGACCGTTAGCATAGCAAGCATTAAACGCATACCATTACAAACTGAGCTAAACGTATCGTCGTATATAATATATAATATTAGTGGACCCGACAAGTATTGTCCTGTCTGAATACATCAATAGTTCTTTTGTGCGTGTGTATATCACTCAACGTTTTTTTTGGTGAAAATTTTATTGCAGCACCAATTGTGGACCTAAGCCGTCCGCGACAAAGATAAAGATTTCATCAGAATCGGTTCAGCCCCTTGAAAGAAATTCAGTGTTCAATAAACAATCATCTACATACGATTAGCGATGATTATGATTAATAAGCAATTGAAAATATTATATTTTTAATTATAAAGTATTTGGAAATTGAAAATGCATTTGTCTTACTAAAGCTACGTAATTTTGTATTTGTATTGTATGAATACATTTTTCATTTTCAATGGTAGTTATAAACTGGCTATTTTTCTTGCGACTTGAGTCTTTCAGTTTATCCGTATTATAATAGGGATAAAAAATAATTAATTTCACACAGTATATATATACATATAGTAAAGTCGCTTAGTGCGCAAAAACGGAATTAGTTTTAGATATGACATGTTGGTTTGTGGCACTCGCTCGTGATATGAAATTATTCGTTATACAAAAATAGATTAATACATAAATTATAGAAAAAAAAAAACTTTTTAATTTATTAGAAAGGAGATATCAAAAAACTGTTTTTAGGCGGCATTTGTCCAATAGGGCGGCGCGAACAATGCGAGGTTGCATAATAAAAGTTCGAAAAAAGCACGTTGAAATCTATAATATCACCAATTTTCTAAACTCCCGGAAAACTTCCTAAAAAAATTATTAAATGACTGAACTGATACCATAGTCTTCTTAATTAAAAGAGTTTTAGAGATTGAAAAAAGAAAGATGTTTTTACATCGTATTAAAAGTATCATATAGAGTACAATAAGTGCACATATACTCGTACATAGTTACACGAACTCCATACAATATTCCGTAGCAGCGACGAGCTGAAGCAATATCGCGCTGTACAATGAGTCTAATCTTACTTTATTACTCGGAACGCTTACAAGGTTTCATTAATATGGGATAACTAGAGCGTCCATGAAGTAGGTCGAAATGAAATATTATCTCATCACGACAACTCCGTACTTAAATATATAGTATTTGCAAAACTATAAGTGGTATCAATCTGCTTATAATGATTACATAGAAACAAATGCAATTATAATATATTGGCTTTCTGATCAACTTCAAAAATGAAGAAAGTTAATATGAATCTATTGTAATAATTATTTTTAATGTACAGGCTATATTTCAAGAGATACAATAATATAACTATAAGATAAAACCATGAACGAATTAGCCACTGGACCAGACATATAAGCGGACGTACCTTTACCGGTCTTGTCAGTAACCAGGGGGTTTTAGCCTTGGTCGTTTGTTTTTTGCGTCAGTCTCAAGCACATACTTGTCAACAAAAAATCTCCCTAAAATGACTAAATGTTCTGTTAAATGGTGTAAAAAGTATAGCGGCGGAAGCAGCACTATTTCTTTTTACTTGTAAATACATTATTTTATTACATTTATTATTATTTATCACAAAGTTAATTTTTTTTATTTCATCATTTACTTTTGAGCAAAAACAACGTGATTACTTGTTTAGTGCATCAAATAAAAATTCATTAGAATTAATAAAATTCACGAGAAACGGGGCTATTTGTAAATTAAATTATATGGGTACGTTAATTCGCATGCAGCAAATATACGACAGAAACGCTTTAAACGACATTATGTCTTAGTAAAAACAAAATATTTTAATTCCATTTATTCCAAAATACACAAACCAAACAATTGTTTCTCGGTAAATTATGAACGCGAAGGTTTTCTTTAATAATGAGTGTAAATCCTACTGTAGAAAGGACAAAGGCGAAAAAACGTGCAGGATTAAAATTAATTTCGCAAACTAGTGTTCTGCGGACTGCGTCGTTGCTTGCTTGCAATGACTCAAATTAATTATTCGTATACTGATGTTTGCCTTCGACTCCACTCACTAAGGTAGTAATATAAATAAAAAGTTATTATTCTATGTGCTAATGAAAATTATGATGATGATGATGTTCTCCTGACCGGTTTCGGCCACGGCGGCCCATCTCATTGAGACTAGCCAACTGCGCAGGAGATATTATAGTGCACAAGTGTACGCGCAGACACAACGTGCACTCTCTATTCCTATCACTCTCATACTCCGGTGGGACGACTAATCGACACGACCAGTGAGAGTTAAGGCGCAGGACCGACGCCTTTACGTGCTCTCCGAGGCACGGGGGTGAAACACCGCCAACTTCCCAACTCCGGGCTTTTTTTTTTTTTTTTTAACGTTGGGAAATGCATTTACGCACGAAGTGTGGGACTCACCGGCGAAGCCAGTACTACCCACTAAAACCCAACAAAACCTTCCCCCGTCTTAATGGGGCATCGCAGGATCGCTTACGCATTCAACTACGACACCCCGACGGCAGGTCTGCCGAAGCAGACCACAACAACCATGGGGTTGCTCCACGGTCCACTCTGCTATCAGAGAAGTACCAGGAGCAACCCGCATGGTACACCACCCTCCGAAGAAGGCCGCCTCCCACCGCCCACCGAAGTGGGCCACCTCCCTGTGCGTTTCTTGGCTTCGCGAGTACACTACTGAGCCCCCCCACCACGACAAGGTGAACGCACGTTTCCTGTCACTCTCATACTCCGGTGGGACGACTGCTCGACACGACCAGTGAGAGTGTCGGCGCAGGACCGACAGCTTTACGTGCTCTCCGAGGCACGGGGGTGAAACACCGCCAACTTCCCAACCCCAGGCTATTACTGAGGCTTACTATACAGAAAGACTCAATAACTAAACTTGGCCCGACCCGGGACTCGAAACCAGGACCTCCGGGTGTGCAACCGTACATGATAGCCACTACACCACCTAGGCAGTTTGAAAATTATAAGCCATAGTCATTGATATATAAAAACATAGATACACATTTCCTAATAAATATCTCTTCAAAAAGTGGCGTCGACATGTGACGTTAAGTTAAACCAAAGAATTAAATTAAAAAATCAAAAGTTCTAATTATCTAAACACAAATTCGAACTTACGAACAACACATAAAGTAGTGTTTTAAACAAAACAACGTGCTTTTTAATTTTGTCATCAAAAAAGCAATGAACAAAAGGGATTTGAAAAATACCCAATTCAATTTCGAATTATGCACTTATTTTTGAGGACACTTAGTTATATTAATGGCTATAGTAATTCTGAATTTTTCAATGTCATGATAATGCAATGGCAGTGGTAGCCCAGTGGTAACACGCTCGCTTGGGACACCGAGTGAAGCGGGTTCAAATCCCGGGTCTCGCACCTCTGATATTTTCATGTGCGAATCATTTCTAACATGATTATCGCTTGCCTTACGGTGAAGGAAAACATCGTGAGGAAACCTGCATGTCTGAGAGAACCTAGCAAGTTTTCGAAAGACATGTGAAGTCCGCCAACCCGCACTTGGCCAGCGTGGTAGACTATGGCCTGATCCCCCCACGTATTGAAGGGAGGCCCGTGCCCAGCAGTGGGACATTAAAAAGGGCTGAATACAATGATATTTATGGACGAATGTCAGATGGCAGTCCAATACTCAACAACGGCTACAACAAAGAAGTGACACAGAACAGATATAAAACTGTTAAAGAAGTCATCATGGCACACTACACTATACTATCTCATGCTCAAATATGCAGTGGAAATGTACAAACTGAATATGCAATTATTACCTGTAACAAAGGCGACGATCCTCAAGGGAGTGAAGCCGTCTAAATTATCTTATTATGAGCTTATGTGAATTTCATATGAATAGAGTGTCTTCCCAACGGACTAGTTGAAGACTTAAACACAATACGTCTTTCATTTTTAGCCCCCGATTAAAAGCCTTTTTATAAGTTTACGTCTATGTCTGTATGTAGAATTTAGCTGGAAAACGAATGGTTTTTTATAAATAATAAGCTTGCTTCAACGAAATGGTTCTTAGCTATATTAAATAAAATCTATTCACAATGTGAAAAACTGAGATAGTATTAAAACGTAGTATTTAGTAGTAGGTATATTTGAATACATATGATCTGGTGGTAAACGTTTAAACGTTCAATACTAATTTATGCACTAAATCTATGCATGTAATAGAATTGTAACTAAGCCAAATCTGTACATTAAATATTTTTTGGAAAATCTTATTGAAATAATGTCTATTATCGTTACAGCGGCTGAATCTATAGTTTTTAGAAATTTTGTCTGTCTGTCTGTCTGTGATCGCATCACGGAAAAAACACTGGAAGGATTTTGATAAAATTTGGTAATATGATAGCTGGTTATCCGTGTCAACATATAGAATACTTTGTACTGCGGGAAACTATTTCATTAAAAAATCTATCTAGGTACTAAACGTTTAAACGTAATAAATAAAATGCTGCTGCTGCATTTAAAGTAAATCCTCAGTTATTGATGCAGACGCTGTAAGAGGCTTAGTATCTTTCCCTGGTAAGTAATTTTTCTATAAGCTTTTTTATTTTTAGGATTTCATACACGAAGGGTGCCAACGGAAGCCCATTACTAAGCCTTTGCTGTTCGTCCGTCCGTCAGTCAGAGAGCTGTATCTCATGAACCGTAGTAGGTAGAGAGTTGAAATTTTCACAGTGTGTATTTCTATTGCCGCAATAACAACAAATAATAAGTGAGTAAATATGTATGTGTATGTGTTGCTTCTTCATACAGTAACAGATTTTGGTGAAACCCGAAATGATCCGATACACAATCCTTTTCGACGTAACTAGTAAAGTATATAATTCGAATAGTATTTTTTAATAAAACTATCTTTTTTAATTATTTCGTGAATTTATTTTGATATTTGTTTCCCAACGCTTCGAATGCTTTATAGTAATCATGGTCACGGGAGAGACTAAGGTTTTAAACGGCTCAAAGGTGCTTTCTCACAAAACCACAAAATGATTTCAAAAAATACAAAAACGGCACCAAAGTAGCTTAGAAAAGATAGTATTATTTAAAACTAGCGGCTAAAGAAAAAAGACCTATCCCACAGCAACCGTACATTTCTCTAGGATAAAAAGTAGCCTATGTGCTATTCCAGACAATAAGTTTAGCCGTTCTGGCCTGAAAGAGTAACAAACATCCATACGTCCATACTTACAAACTTTCACATTTATAATATTAGTAAAGATGTTACAATAATTTTAGTAAAGTTATATCGACAATAATTTCGATAAAGTTTTGACAACACTTCATTAAATAAAGTTATTTTGTTATATATTAGGACCGAAACTATTATTTTTAGTTTAAATAGTATACGCTACTCTTATATCAATTACAGTGTAATCATCCCTCATCTCTGCAATCATCACTTTGTGTGTAACTTAGCTTTTATTTCCCTCTAGCGTCTCATATTAGGTACATTCAAAAACAAAGCTTAGCGAACGTTCTGTGTCACATCATCATGTCACTTATACCACTGAAGCTAGTGTAAAGACTATTTTTAGAACATAAAGTTTATAGTTAGTTATTGGCGCCGTTTCTTTTTAATTAAAATATGTATGTAATTTTTCGAAATCTATACATAATATAATAAAATTGTAACTAAAACGGATCTGCACATGAAATATTTTTTGAAAAATCTTATCGAAATAGACATACAAGTATCATCGCGCGCCGCTACTTTGAAGCAAAATTTAAAATGGCGGAGAATGGCTAATAAGAAAAACAAAAAAAAAGTTCGAAAGCTCTTATTTTTATTCCTTGCTATATAAAAGGTATAGACATTTTTATAACTAGCACATATATTCATTACTAGCATTACTTACATTTTAACATTTAGTATAGATTTGTCAGAGACGAGGTATTTTCTCGCAGTTTAAAGTATCCTATATGTTGACTCGGATAACCAGCTACCATCATACCAAATTTCATCAAAATCCCTCGAGTGGTTTTTTCGTGATGCTGTCACAGACAGACAGACAATAACTCTAACAACTATAGACTCGGCCTCTGTATCGATAATAATGACAAAATATTTAATATACTCGTAAGTACATACAGATTCGACTCAGTTAGAATTTTATTACATGTATAGATTTAACACATCGGCGTTACAGTTAACAACAGATTTCTTAGAAATTTCATTAAATTCTTAGAAATTTACTTGGACGTGTTATAGTTTAAAATGTTCCATTAAAATAATAAAGATCCTGAAACAATCATCCGTAACGCGTTTAACGACAATTTTCCGCTTTTAGTTCCAAGTTAAAAGTTTAAAGCCTTTTTTTTCTTCTTTGTTTTTTTACTGATGTGAACACATGCGTGTTTTGCCGAATGTCCAACTCAAAATCATAAGCTTAATAGAAACTATTGCATTTAAGGGGTTTATTATTACTATGGTATTTATTTAATTAGCTTTTACTGTATTTATACGTACATATAAATTATAATATAATAATTAAACGATAAGGTATTAATATAAATAGAAGACGACCTGTTTGGCTCAGTTTATAGTAACATTATTTGCCGTGCCAGCGGTCACGGGTTCGAGTCCCGCTGGGGGCACTCATTTGAGTGATGAGCACGAATATTTATACTCCAGTCATGGGTATTTATATTTATAGTATGTATGTATTTAAAGTTATATAATATGTGTAGTGTATCAACTATCTGGTACCCATAACACAAACCTTGTAGCTTACAATGGAATAAGATGGTGCCGTGTATTTATGTCCCAACATATTTATTATTTATTAATAATGTTTAGAATCACCCACAGCTTCATTCACGAGGTATATCGATCGATTCAGAGATAATTTTTGTAGTATTAAACTTTTTTGGAATCTTATAGTTTAGTAATTTATTTTATACATACAAATAAACAAACACTGTATATTATATTGCAAAAACTGATTGTAAGGAAATATTTTCAAATATTATTTCCTATGACTCAAACCCCTTCCAGTACCGAACAGATTGGCCCCGCGTCACATTCCTTTCGAATTCACTTCAATATGCGCTACAGGAAAGCTATTTTAGAAATATTTTTTGTAACACAAAAAACTTTGAATTGTAATGAAATTGCCAGTCTACAAATTGAATATCTACGAATTCAAATGTCACAAAAATATTTTTCTTTTACAAATTCTTGTACTGAATTTACCATGAACATTTGCTTAAGAGATTGATTAAGAGACTATTTCCTTCCACATCCATCTCAACAATAGTATGTAAAGTACATATATTATGAGTCAATACTCCAGACGTTTTAATAATTTTCTCTGCAAGTAATTATAATTATATAATTATAATATAAATTAACTAGCCGTAACTTTTGTTTTAATATTTAGTATCGATTTCTCAGAGATGAGATATTTTCTCACAGTAAAACATATCCTATATGTTGACCCGGATAACCAGCTATCACCATACCAAATACCAAAATCTGTCCAGTGGTTTTCTCGTAATGCCTTCCCAGACGATGCGACGCGACGGTTTGATAGACAGAGGAAAATTCCAAAAACTATAGACTCGGCCTCTGTATCGATAATAATGAGTATTTCAATATGATTTTCCAAAAAATATTTAATGTACAGATTCGAATCAGTTAATATTTTATTATATATATATATATATATATATATATATATATATATATATATATATATATATATATATATAGCGCGTAATATTATAACTACTGTGCCTAGCGTCCGTACTCGTCCTTGCGCGTTTCCGCGTGCCAGGCTGCGCCCGCGCCTACACCCCCGCCCAGTGAACCTGCAACCGCGCTACGTCACCAACGCGTTCCGCTGACGTACGCCATTCGCCCCACTCGCGAGCGTTGATTCTTATTTGTTAATTACTCTTACACTCGGGATTAATCTATAATACACGATGTTAACTAAGTTTTTAATGATTATAGTATAGATAATAAGTATAGACTACAGTATAGATTAGTATAGATTGTATCAACAATTAAAACAATAGCTTTTCATCGACTTAAATGTATATAGTACGCTAAAATGTTTAAAACAAGCTCAAGGACGTTCATATGAATTTCACATATTTAAGTTTCAAATTAATATAACAATAAGTAGTCAAAAACCAACTTTCAATATTACGAGTATTACATTGTCAGTTACAAAAGAAGATAATAAAATCATCTTAGGGAACATTCACTATGCCAATGTCCGAATTATTAACTATCTGTTACATTTAGAAACATCGATCAAAGGAATATTAGATACACAATCCCATTCAAAAGTTCTCTGAAAACTGTCACCAATTGTGTTTAGGTAATTATTTCAGTTGAAATAAATATATAACAATGTAAATTGAACCTTAAATGTAATGATTATAGTTCTTTAAAAAAAAACTTACAGCGCACTCAAATGTTCAAATGAGCACTCATTCGATGAGGACGTTTTTTGTCCCTGTTTGTCTATCTAGTACTTTGATCGATGCTTAGAATTTCTTGTTATTGTCTTCTTATTCTTTGGAAAGATATTATATAAATTCAAATTACTGAATACCTCTTTTTAAAGTTGGTTAAAAAAGGCGAGTCAACTACCACTTTCGTATAACGATTATGAAAATATTAGGTAGGTTTTCCAGCATTTATTTTGTCATGCAATTTAATGGTGGCCTATATCCTGTATGCGAGATGATTTTTTCTTTTTGACTTTGTTTCCGCATTAAATACCAGTAACAGTAACTTTTCTGTGTATAACTCCTGGCACTGGTTTTGTGATAGTTTTATTATTTTCAAA